CGGGAAACCAAACTGACAGCAAAGTTTCTGCAGAATAGATGAAAAACATTGTATTTGGATGTAAAGTTAAAGGTCAGCACTCGAGAATCTGACATGCTAGCAGTTGTTGTTGTTGAGCGGTCCCACCTCACCCTAATTAAAGAGCGCATCCTCTAAAGTCAGAGGAAATTATTATATCTTTATTAAAGTGAGTATGAAGCTTCTGGGAAAACAATCTAAACCACACAACAGGACGCGTATTTAATGAGCAAAGCCAGCGCTTAAACTGTCATCTAGTTAATGCATTGATTACTACATTGTCAGAAGGGGGAGAAGGAGGAGTGTCTTCTGAGTTTTTAAAAGCAAACAGCTCAATCAGTCCCAATCAGGTGCTGAACTCATCGCTGCACTGCAGGTTGGGCACTGGGGAGAAGTTAGAGGAGCCCAGTGCGGTAATGATTTTACTCTTCATCTTCGTCTGCTCTCCCAGAGAGCTGCGGCTCGCTTTGTCGGGCTTTTTTTAAGCTAGCGTGTCCCCTGAACTGACGTGAGGGAAATTTTAATCGTAAAATATGAGGACGAATACAAAGAAAATGGAAGGGAAACAGATTTAACTTTAATTTCTGTTTCTGTTTTGTTCTCGTATATCAGAGCGTATACAACGGGTAGTCTCCACAGGTCATTAAACAGTCTTATTTTCTAAAGTTACACACAGAACGGTCAGCTGCTGACAAATGCAACGAGATTACATATCAACATACGAGAGGTCCACCGCAGAAATTCTCTCTCTCCCTCTCTGTCTCTTCGCAATTAATGAGCCAATACATACAGTTCAACAGCTCACCCTTGTGTCTCACAAAAGCCTCGATACGAATTGAACCAAACATCCCCTATTCAATAACGATAATGGATCTGAATGGAGACGATTGCCAAAAATGTACTTTAAATGTTATGCGCTAATTGGACCATTAGAATCCAGAGGCGTTAATTCTCGTCGTTATGAAGACAACATCCAGCTGATGATATTAATTACTCGCGAGCCGTGGCTGCGGCTTTATAAATTGCCGACAACATGGCCGCGCGCTCGCTCTCTCTTTCTCTCTCTGATTGTTGGCTTTATTGTTCCCAGCTCTGGTGCAGGTCGTGTGGAATCCAAATCACCTCAGTAATTAGCTTGGAAGCTTTGTGTGCCTGACTGGCTCGTGCAGATATATGATACAAAATTGATCACAGCCCACCCAGTCCCCCTCAATCACCCTTCTCACCCACATTGCCCGTTCCCTCCTCTTACCTGCACCGTCCTTTCATTCTTGGTGGTTGGCACGCTAGAGAATTGCGGGATCAATTGTCTTGGGTCGAGCTTGGCGAGGCGATAGCTGGTCTGCTCCACCCTCTGACATGGCCTCCACAATGGGCCTTTGTGCGATCAGCACGTGCAAAGCCTCATCCCTCTAGCTCTAATGGCTTCTGGAGCGCCACCGGCTCAATACGCCATTACTGTTACGCATGAGTGAAGGCCACAGACACGCAGGCGGGAAGACAGAGGAGAGGGAGAGTGGAAGTGCGGCACGGCTCACTAGAGAAGGCGTCTACAGCAGAGCGAAGCCCCCACCAGGAGCCTCCATCTGCTCCCACACGGGCAAACAGTCTCCGCTGAGCGCCGCGAAGGTTTCGACAACGCGTTCAAACGAGAAGGGAGGGCCTGAAATCCACCCTGACATCACAGGGTTAAGGGTGTGGAGAAACCTGTGAGCTTTTAACGAGGCGCTGAATGAAGGCCTCATTAGGGCAACCGCAGCGGACGTTAATCAGTAATTAGAAACTGTGATCTCTGAGAGCGAGTAAGTGTGGGGGAAATGAAAACACTCCAAGCGCGAGTGAGCTCTGTGCGGCGCCCATGCTGCGCTGCTTGAGGGTGCCCTCGTTTGTGCGACTGGGTTCTTCAGCAGTGCTTCTTGCAGCGAGCGTAAGGGCTCTCGCAGCGCTCCCCAGAGCAATCAGGACCTCTGCACTCCCCCACCCACCGCCACCGCTCCGACTGTCACCGCGCCTGAGCGTGCTCCACACGGGCACTCTGTTTGAATACACAGGGCGCCGTAGCGTAATTATAGGTTTCTGAAGAGCTTAAAGATATTCAGGCTAATCAAAGGTGGAGGCACAAGGGCCTCAATCTTGTTTGTTGCTTCCACACTTGGAAGCTTGAGGTCTAGTAAATATAGTCGATTATCACTTCCAAGTGCGGAAAGACAAAAACACTAGTGTTCTTAAAATACAGACGCTGTCTAGCCAGAGCTGTTTCCGAGTAGCCTCTTCTTTTGTGGTTTACAAAGAAAATAAATGGAAAAGCACACAAGTTACGGCCCTGTTATTGAACATACAAGCACGACCTATGTTCTTGTCATTCTCTTTGAAATGGTCAGCAACACAGAACATCTCTGACAGTCGTCGAAGTCAGTTGTCGTCATCAAGTTCATGCATCAAGACGCTGATAAAAATGTAATAAGACGGTGTCCGTATGTTATCAGTTTGCAATTGAAGCTGGCCATTCAAGTTGGGAATTGACCCCAATTAACTGCTAACCTGAATGGGGTCAGGTTGGCAATTACATGCAATCAGTTTGTGATAATACGATGAATAAATTGCCGAAAACAGACGTTCACACTAAACAGAAAACACAGTAACGACTTGCATTCAAGTTCAGCCAGAACCTTGGAGCAGAAACTGCAGCTGTCGGCAATCAGTCCAAGTCGTAGCGCTCTTGTTTGGAGGCAGGATGCCTTGCACCAGTCGACCTGTGCCATCACCAATGTGAACAAAAGTGATTGCCCAGAAGTTGGGGGTGCTGCACGATCAGCCTCTGAACAAGGAGCTGTTTGCTGCAACTACTTGGTACATTTCCCATCCTGTTTTTATTCTGCTCTGATGCGTAAATATTTAGGGTGCACGACCTGAAACGTGGTAGCGTTGATGAAAACAAACAGCTTGGTTACGTAGCATAAGCTCCGTGATAGCACTGAACTTATTCAGAGCAGGCTTCCACACGGGTGCTTTGTTTACATAACACAGACAGGACAACAACAC